GACACCTCTCTTGGTCTTGTCAGTTTTTCTCAATCCCTGGTCATAGCATTAATGGATATTTGACAATGGTGCTAGTCACCATACTACTCCAGCTCTTTAGTATCTCTAGTCATTCACTGATTATGGTGGTCCGGATGAGATCTGTCTTGGCAATGGTAAGGGTCTTCCCATTTCTCATATTGGTACCACTACTCATCAATTATCCAAAAATGTAGTGTCTGTATCAAAATTATGTCAAACTAACCATGTCTCCGTTGAATTTTTTCCTCTCTTTTGCAGTTAAGGATTTGAAAATGGGAGCGCATCTACTTCAGAGTAAAAATCGTGGTGGAGTCTATTATCCAGTTCCGGTGTCTCCCCAAGTGCATCACATAGCTTTGTCCGAGCTACATCATTCTTCGAGCATCCTTCCAATTAAATATTATATACTCCCTCCATTTTCAAAAATACTTCCTCTTTATTTTTTTCCACTTCCAACAAGACACTTCCACTTTCTATTAAGAAACCACTTATACCCTTACTTTTTCATACCCTACCTATCACATCATACTTTTTCTCTAATAATCTATCCATCACATCTTACTTTTACCCATCACACCAAAGTCGGCGCTGCTCAAGGTTCCGCCTCTTTTTTTGTTTCTTTCCTTTCCATTTTCTTCCCCTCTTTACAATTCCAGCCCCCTCTCCATTTTTATCTCTTTTTTCTTTCTTTTTCTTTTAGGTTTAATTTTGTATTGGGTTGGAAATTAGGATAGGATATAACAATTGGATCTTGACTTGCACTTGAACATTAAACTTCAATTCCATTAAAGCTTGGCCCAATTCTTTATATCTTTGACATCCATTTTTATTCAAAAGAGTATATTCTGAAAATACATATGAGAGAAATTAATATCAACACGAAATAAAATAAAAACTTTACCCAATTTATGATTTTACTGTAAAAATATAACAAGTAGCCTAAAGAGCCAAATATTTCATTATGTAACTTATTTTAACATAAAATGCATTAAAAATATAATAAAGAACTAAAGTATGACCAAATAAAATGTGACAATTTGTAACGTATCAATTTCAAGCTAGTCCCACATTTCCTTAGCGCTGGAACAACATGAAATCTTCTAGTAGTCATTCGGGTTCACTGCACAATAGAGGATGTCGTTGGTTTTTGCGTTATTCTCCATCTTCTTGATATCCTGCGCATCATACTCATCCTCGGTTTTAGGAACAGTGGTTTCCCCAACTTTCTTCATAGGCACTTCTTCGCCCTTCTTGTGATTCTCTGATCCACATGAGAAAGTTGGTGGATTGGATGTAAATCCTCATCCGCTCCTTCCAATACGTGTAATTTGTTCCGTCAAACAATGAAGGTCTCGTAGTGGATTGTCTTTCACCTAACCCTGCGTATGAGTTTGAGTAGAAGCCATTGATCGTTTCTCTCAAACGGTTAAGTCTTTCAGTGAGTATGGCTCTGATACCAATTGTTAAAATAACGGCCCAACGCTAGGGGGGGTGAATAGCGTTTAAAACAAAATTGTAGGAATTTAAAACGAGGAAGGTAAAGTAAAGAGCGTAAGCAGGGAGCACACCGTATTTTACACTGGTTCACCACAACATGTGGCTATGTCCAGCCTTCCGAGAGACTCTCTCGATTTACACTAACTCCGTTAAGCTTCAGGGTGCTTAACAAACCGATACAACCTGAGAACTCGAGTCACACGACCCTCAACGTCTTTTGCTCGGAGATACCGCTCTCCAAGATTTCACACAAAGGAGCGAAAACTTCCTTCGAATTACAACAAGGGAACAAACCTCCCTTCAAGTGTATAAAAACACTTAACCCATTAGAAAAAAACTCTCACAAAGAGTATATATGAGTGAACTAGTAAACACTCAAGAACATGAAAATGTTTTAAAAAAATTGGCTATCAAAAAGCTATGAAATATGAAGGATGATAATGCAATGAAAGTGTATTGAATGTTGAAGAATTGTGTATAAAATGAAAGGATTTGAGTGCCATTTTATAGGCTAAAATGAGGTGTGACCGTTGCAAGAATTTCAACAGGGTCAGGACAAAATTTAAGAGTCACAGACTGATAGTCGATTATCTTAACATGATAATCTATTATCTAAAGATTCCGTGTCCAAAAATTTAAAATTCTATCCGTTGGAAGGCAACGGTAGCACTGATAGTCGGTTGTCCAATTCTGTCAGTCGACTATCAAGCCTCTCGGAAAACTCTGGGTTTTGGCAGCAGACGAGCATTATCGATTGTCACTTGATGATTGTCAATTACAGGATGCTCCTGAACTTAAAGTTCAAAAACTGCAGGGCCTGATAATCGAGTGATACAAAGTGATACTCGATTATCCCACAACTATCACCCATCCTGTGAAAACCCAATTAGAAAAACCAAGTTCCAAAAAAGAAGTGTTCCCAAAAGTAAAAACCAAGGTTTAAAAATATTGTATATGGTATAAAATTGTAACGCCCCAAAACATACCCTAGAATTATTAATGGATAATTATTCAAATTAATCAAATTTGTTTTAATTAAAATAAATTATTATTGGGCTTAGGGCCAAAATAAAATGTGTTTTGATATTCAATATCACAATCAGGATAAATCTCAAAAAGATAAATTCAATTTGTTGACTATTTGTTTGGTCTTGATTGGGAACCTGAGTACGGACCCAAATCAAGAATAAATGAAGAAATTAATTATGATGTGAACTTTAAAATGATTTATTGAAATAAATCATGAGAATAATTAATATGAATTAAATATGAGAACCTTTTTGAATAAAGGTTAACTAAATCAATTTTGACTCTGTGAAAGTCAAACACCCAAAAATATGATGTCGGAAAAAAATATAAAAATTATATCGTTGGATAGAGTTCGTCTGCCTGATCGCAACAGTGCAAACGGAATTCATTTTGAAGAAAGTTGGACAACAAAATGTTCCCCGATTGGAACCAAAATTGGTCCCAATCAGGGAACTGTACAGACGACACCTCCTTCTCCACTACGCCGATCGTGAATCACAATTGACTCAGCAACCTTTGTAATATACTTCTCTTCTTCCCTATATAGGGAGAAGCAACCCTTCTCATTTCTACACCATTCTCTCTACTTCTTCTCCCATTGTGTTCTTGAGAGTGTAAGGAATATTGTGGTGCTGCCAATTTGGTGAGAGGATGCCAGAACTAGCTACAAACCTCGCCAGAAGTTTCGCTGGAAAATTTCCAAAACCTTCGTTAAGCTTCGAGGTAAGCCCGTAGATATATCTAATGACTAGAATGTTTGTATAGATTGTTTCTACGTTCATAAACGCTCGTTTGCACTACAAGAAAAGAGGCTTTTAGCCGCATATAATTTGCCGCACATTACCAAGTGTAGTATTAAAAGTTAGCACTTTATCATTTCTCCGCATTTAAAAGAGTAGCTATAGATAATTTTGTATACCCACATAACAAAAGTGTGGAAAATCACATAAGTAACCTTTAATTGAAAACAAACGTGCATTATTATATTATTTAACTTAATTATATTACTCCTTACATTAGGAATTGAAAAAGTTTAATTATATTACTCAAAAAACTTAAATTTCTCAACTAAAAATTGGCGCACTACACTTTTTCATCCACCCGCCCAATTAATCTATCTCAAACTACCTCAACCCTATAGCATCGTCTTCTCTCCTGATCGATCCAATTCATCTACGACCTCCACCAACAGCTGCGCTCTCATCAGTCCTTCAGCGTCGTATTTGCAATCGTTCATCATCGTCTTCTCAATCATACGACTTGATCGATTCATTTAGGTATGTATTTTCCTTTTATCTCTTGAAATTAGATTGGTTTTGTGGCGAAGTGCTTTAATATATGACTATATGAGAGGGTAAATTGCTATTCTATATTGTAGAATTTGAGCCTAGTGATTGTTATCTGATCTGGAAACCTGTGCCTGTTACTGTTCTTGTTCCTAAATCTGTGGATTCATATGCTTATATATCCAAAACCCAGCATTGAACTGTTGTTTGGTTAAACTTTATCGATATCCTAGTGATTGTTATCTAAAAACCTGTGCCTATTATTGTTGTTTTTGTGCAAAGACTTCTATATATGCAAGGATAAAACAAGATTCAGTGTCTGAATTGATGTTTTTATGCTTGTATATTTGAATAGCAGTACGTGTTAAAGTATTGAATGTTCCAGTAGTGATTGTGTGAACTATTGCTGGTTATATTCTAGTTTTTTTTATTTCAATTTTGTAAAGAAATCTTCAAAAAGTATTTAATTGTGTGTGGTTGAATTGGTTACGGGTGTGGAAGCTCTTCAAAAAGAAGAAGAGAGCTCTGAGGCTCTGTAACCATATATACTCTTTGCTTTGTGTCTATCAAGATCTGTTTGCTCTCTTGATTTGGGTGCATCAGTTACTTTCCTGAGTCAGTAAGTCTAATCCCCTCCATTACAAATATTTCAGTCCCCTTTTAAGCACCTATGTATCCCTTTTCAAGGGCCTTGTCACAACCTTAGCCTAACCCACTTGGAGCTGATATAAACTCAGCATTATCCACCTTTGCAACTGGTATATACCAGATACTACCGAAACTTGTAGCTAATGTATAACTGGTCCCAACCACACATGTGATACGGATAGTTAATTAGAATATTTTAATTAGTTATATTATTATTTAGTAGTTAATTATTATTATTTATTAGTATTTTATAGATTAGGGTTTTTGTATGGGCCCGAGCCCATTAGGTCATGTAGGTGTGGCGTCTCATCTCTATATATTGTAATCCCGTATCATTATCATTCAAGCAATCAATAATCAATAATTCTCTTAATCTCTCGTCTCTCTGTTCTTGGAGCCCAGAAACGCTCAAAGTTTTCCTTCTCTCTTTACCTCCCCTTTCTTGGAGCTCGAAGACGCTCGAAGTTCTTCCCTATCCGATACGATATTCGTATCAATTGGTGCTTTCATTGAGAGAAAAACCAAAAAAAAAAAATTGGCACCACCGCCGAAGAGAAACAAATCAAATTTGCAGCCGCTGTTGAATCGAGATCGAAGAAGGAAGTGCGGACCCAATTTCCAGCCGCACAATTTCATACCCTGTCATTAAAAAAGAATCCGTCTTAATTTCCAGGGCCGGTTTAACCCCTTGGCCAGATTTGTCGTCGCCGCCATATTTATAGGTTTACTACTGATTCACTCAAAGGTTTCAAATTACTCCGTGAAAAATTCAAGTACACAAGCATTTCGAATTTGTGTGCGCCACTGGAGCATTGTGAAACTTTTTATACTTGGATTATATTGAGTATTTTCTTGGGCTCCCCCATATTGCAAATTTTGCTACTCTCTTGAACAATTAATCATGCCTGCGGATTACTTTGAGATAAATTTTGCATTGGAAAAATTACTTGGCTTGTTAGCGAAGGTTATTTATGGCGAAATTGAGTATGATGAAGGGGTGTGTTTGATTTTTGATCACGTGTCTGAAATTATTATGAAGCTCAGGTCGATCCGAAATTTTGAAGGCCAAATTAATTATGATGTGCTTGACGTAGAAATTTTTTGCTCGGTACAGGATTTGGTTCGTGGACCTCCAATTGTGCCTAGTCAAATTTCTTTTGAGTTACAAGTTTTCAGAGCACACATTATGGGTATTATACGGAAAGTGACTGGCGCTCCACTATCTCCACCAACGTTGCCCCCAAGATATGACGCAGCGTATAAAGTTCCAGCAAGTGTCGAGAAGGTGGCAGATGCAGATAATAAGCAAGTGTACGACCTCAATTCATTTGATGACACCATCAAGTTATTTGACATTGATGATGCTGTCGAGTTCGCATACCAGGTTTCAGAAGAGGTGGTTCAAGACAAGTTTCGCATTCTCTTATCTCTCCAGTGCTACTCTTCAACCAGCATGCTCCATGCAAAATGCTCAGGAGATGGACTTCATCTTTGGGTAAACATTTGGTCATATGTCCAAAAACACGAATGGGAGCCTCCACCTTGAGGACAAGGTGGTTTTTAAGGGGGTGAGAATGATACGGATAGTTAATTAGAATATTTTAATTAGTTATATTATTATTTAGTTGTTAATTATTATTATTTATTAGTATTTTATAGATTAGGGTTTTTGTATGGGCCCGAGCCCATTAGGTCATGTAGGTGTGGCGTCTCATCTCTATATATTGTAATCCCGTATCATTATCATTCAAGCAATCAATAATCAATAATTCTCTTAATCTCTCGTCTCTCTGTTCTTGGAGCCTGGAAACGCTCGAAGTTTTCCTTCTCTCTTTACCTCCCCTTTCTTGGAGCTCGAAGACACTCGAAGTTCTTCCCTATCCGATACGATATTCGTATCAACATGTTATGAACGTTTGTTTGTTCACCTCTAAAGTTGGACTAACATATGTACTTGAGGGAGTGAAAAACAAGGCTATGTTGATGTTAAAAAATGGCATGGCATTATCCTCTTGCCATTTTATAACGTGAAAATTTCCTTCCTGGTGCCTAACACCTTTTAATATTGTCACTGGTTTGGAGTCCAATGATTTTTCTTTAACAAATAAGAGAATGCTCAGTAATTGTAATTTGGATATGTCTTTCAAATCTACGTCACATGAAATTTTGCAGCACTCACTACTACATAATCTTTAGTGCAGATTCATTGCATGTGTTGAGAAAAAATAAACACTTATGGTGATGGGTGATTACTACAGAAATAAGTCCATCCGGGTATCAAATATGGCTGCAATAGATAAAGCTACTCAAACATCCAAGAAAATCACCAAATAGCTCTATTAGTAAATAAAAAACAAAGACAATGACAATCTAATCCTGCTCCAGGATTGAATCCCTAAGAAAAAAGTCATTTCATTTCCTTGCCTATAAAGGGATGTCAAAGAAAAACTGAAAACCAACAACATTCAAACATGAACTATGACAAACAGAAAAACTAAAAGGGAAACTTATATATCAAAGTTGAGTGTTTGGCCTAGAAAATAGACCAAAATCAAATCATAGCTAAACCCCTGTTCTAATAAAGCATAGCTAAACCACCCGGTATAGATTCTAGTCAGAAATATATGAAAGAAAAATAAGCTACTTAAGCTCTAAGGAAAACTAAGCTACTTCAGCTTTACTCACTATTTCAATGTCAATCACTTATTGGTTTTTAAGTCTTATTTAATTCAACTACTATAGTGTTATGACATTAGCCAATTACTAAAAACAAAATATACATACAAAAGGAACTATGTTTCCATTACCTGACGAATGAAAAAGTGAGTGACAATATCAACCAACCTTCAAGTAGCATCAAACGGTGTAGTGGTGGCCTCTTGTATTCCAGCCACATCACTGATGAAAAGTGTAGCAGGAGTGGAGGATCTAGGACAGATATGCTTCGTTATTCCATAAGTCATACGCTCCAGTATGTTCTGGTTAAGCTGAAAGAATGTGATTCAAAGTGAGATAGTAGGGTATTTAAAAAGACTATAATGGCAGATGCACTCAAATTCATTTTCTGGAGGCACTACAAATATTTTTCTTACTGTCTTATAGCTTCATTAGTTTATTAGACCAGTTTTGAGGCAGCAACGAATTATTACGTTGCTGGCATGGACAAGATACGGAAACAAGACCTTGCTACGCCTACAGTAGTGAATACCCATCTGGTGCGGTGGGAAAACCCATCCTTGTAGTAGTGAGTACAGAATTTAAATTGTACTAGTAATAATGTTCTAATGCGACGAGTTAAATGATCAATAGTCTAAAACTAAGGTAACTATGTTGAGGGAGGCTATCTTTTATTGGAAAGTTTTTTAAAATATAATGAAAATTGGGTTGGGTCGGGTGAAATTAGGTTGGGTCAAATTGGGTTAGGTCAAATATTCTAATTTCCATGATCGACTAGGCATCTTCTAGGCGCACCTAAGCGTCGGGTTACTCGTCCTCTTGCCTAGTCTGCCCTAGTCTCTAATCGAAGAGCAAGTCACCAATCCAAAAACACATGGAATAGTCATTGCCTAAGTGACGACTTGACAACAGTGCGTGCCTCTAATCTTATTTCTTATAAAAAAAAATTATATTTTGAAGTTCATTGTCATTTTAGATAGGATAAACTTCTCTAAAAGGAAATCAACAAATCATTTTTCAATTTCATTGAGTAACTTGTATATGTATTCACCAAATTTGTGGAGTAGCCTGGTATTTGGTTATGGTCATAGTATTTCTTACTGGTCTTGGTTTTTGCCATAACTGATAATCATTTACCTCAGTTTTTATGTTACAACACTATTTGAAATGGATAAAAGTTGGATTAAAATGAATAGAACATCACCACAATATATAGGCGGAGTTCAAGCATTTCTAGATTTTGCTTTTTGCAAATGCTGGTAACAGTAAATTGATTGTTTGTCCTTGCAATCATTGTAAACTTGGGCGCAATCGTTGGTTTAATAGAGATGAAGTGACAGAACACCTCATGTTTAATGGGTTTTGCCCTACCTACAAGGACTGGGTGCATCATGGGGAACTAGTTTCAACTCTAGGATCTTCAACAACCCATATTCCATGCCACACCAACAGTACTAATGATGCAAACTTTGCTTGTAACGTAGACACCGCGACATTGTTCAGTGATTTGTTTGGGATGTTTAATGAAGGGAACAATCAAAATACGAATGCTACTGATTCGTGTAATGCCATGGATCCTCTAAATGGGATAGAGGATGACTTGTTTGCGGTAGATGATGATTTTATTAACGAACTTAACAATTAAGGAGTTATGAATGAAGATGAAAACTTTGAAGAAGTTGGGTACAAAAAATTACTTGAGCACGCCCATGAAGAGTTATATCCTGGATCAAGTTATTCAAAGTTATCTTTCATGTTACATTTGTTCCATTTGAAATGCATGCATGGTTGGTCTATTAAATCATTTGAAAAGTTGTTTCAACTTTTAGGAGTTGTTTTTTCCACTGATTAAACCATTTCCAACATCATGGAGCCAATGTAAGGAGTTAATGAGAGATTTGGGGCTTCACTATGAAAAGATTCATGCGTGTCTCAATGATTGTATCCTTTACTGGGATGGAAGGGAAAATCAAAATGAGTGTGACAAATGTGGTGCTTCACGATGGAAAGATGAAAATAAAAAAGTGCCACATAAGGTATTGCGTTACTTTCCTCTTATACCAAGGCTACTCAGGATGTATAAGTCTTCCAAGATAGCTGAGGATATGGTATGGCACCACAAAGATAGGGTAAAAGATGGGAAACTAAGGCATCCAGCAGATGCAGAAGCATGGAAGGATTTTGATAGGTTGAATCCGGAATTTGCTTCTGATCCACGCAATGTTAGGTTTGGGCTTTCTAGTGACGGGTTTAATCCATTTTGCGTCATGAGTACAAATCATAGTACTTGGCCAGTGTTGTTGATTCCATACAACTTGCCTCCTTGGCTGTGCATGAAACGACACTCAATTATTTTATCTATAATTATACCTGGAGAAAAGGCTCCCGAAATGGATATTGATGTTTATCTTCAACCCCTAATTAAAGAATTATTGCAATTGTGGAATGGGGTAGATGCATTTGATGCATACACAAAGACAAGATTTAATTTGCGTGCAGCCCTCCATTCTACAACAAGTGATTTTCCTGCGTATGCAAATTTGTCTGGTTGGAGTACTAAGGGCTATTTTGCTTGCCCATCTTGTGCTAAAGATACACATTCTCTTTGGCTGGAAAATGGGCATAAGTTTTGCTATATGGGTCACAGAAGATGGCTTCCTAAAAATCATGCATTTTCGTTTTGATGATGTTGGGTTTGATGGAAATGTTGAGTTCGGTGATGCTCCTAAATGTTGTAGTGGCACAGACGTTCTAGCGCAATTACAAGGTACAACATTTTCGTATGGGAAGGGTGCTTTTCAAAATGTGGATACTGATGAAAAAGATGAAGAAAAAATATGCAGGAAACGGAGTATTGTTTTTACTTTGCCTTATTGGGAACATAATCTCCTTCGCCATAATTTGGATGTTATGCATATTGAGAAGAATATATGTGATAACTTCTTAGGTACTTTTTTGAATATAGAAGGGAAATCCAAAGATAACTTGAAGGCACGTAAAGATCTACAATTGTTGAAAATCAAACAAAACCTTCATCCTATCTTGCCACCAAATGGCAAGTATGAAATCCCTGATGCCCCATACACATTATCCACTGAAGAAAAGACACGTTTACTGACCATGTTAAAACGCGTGAGATTCCTAGATGGGTACGCAAGTAACATATCTCGATGTGTAAATTTGAAGGAGCGCAAATTATTGAATATGAAAAGTCATGATTGTCACATTTTGATGCATGATTTGCTCCCCATTCTTTTAAAGGCTGCCAAAGATATTGATGTAGTGGACATTATGAGTGAGGTATCCGATTTCTTCAAGGAATTATGCGGGAATGAATTGTCGCTCGAAAAGTTGGATGAGATAAAAGCTAATGTTGCCATTACATTGTGTAAAATGGAGAAAATATTTCCACCACATTTCTTTACTATCATGGTTCACCTAATGATTCATTTGCCTGATGAAGCAAAGCTTGGAGGTCCTGTTTTTTACAGATGGATGTATCCAATAGAAAGGTTAAAATAAATACTATTTTATACTTATATTAGTGTATACTTGTGGTCTAATATTTTTTAATGATCCTCTTAGGTTTCTTGCATTCCTTAAAGGACTTGTACATAATAGGGCACAACCAGAGTGTTCAATGGCAGAAGGATACATTGCACACGAATGTATAACCTTTTGCTCAAGGTACTTTGGAGAGGTAGAAACAGTTTTTAATCGACCACGACGCAATGATGATAGTCACATGAATAAAGATGTTTATCTTTTCGGTACCTCTGGTGAACCAAAAGGAAAGAAAGGTGGAAATGGTTAAAATCCTAGAAATAAATTTTGAACAAGCGCAACGATATGTACTTCTGCATCTCGGTGGTATTGATGAATACCATAGGTATTTCTGTGTCTAGATTTATAATTCAAGACAATCATTGGTAACATAATTATTTAACTTTAACCTCAACATTGTAGGCTGTTTTTGAATGAGCGCATGGAATCTTATCCTCGAGTGGTAACAGATAGAATTAAGCACAAGTGGTTGGTTGAAGGCTTTCCTACATGGATCAAAGAAAAGGTAATTGTTAATCAACTAATTACTTAATATAATCATCTTTTCTTGTGGAATATATTTCTAATGAGTTCAAGTATTTATACATCAGGTCTCAAACATGGATGCTCAAGATTTAAAATCAAGAGTGTTTAAGGTAGTGGCTTCATGTGCTCATCCAGTAGTGAAGAGAATGAACGGTTTTGTTATCAATGCTGTGGATTTTTAGACGCTTTCTTTTTTGGTTTTTCTTAGGATTCCGTATTTCCGTTGGCTCTATTGGAAACCTTTGATTTTGCAAGCCTTGCTTTCACATAAAATTTTTGGTTGGCTCCTTCCAATACTTTTGCTTATTAGCCTTTATTTGGAACTTTGCTTTGGAGGCTCGACTCATGTGTATTTTTTTTCAAGGATGTACATGCAAATATACTTTGCTTCTTGTGATTGATTATATTATTTATTCTAATATAGTACAGTGCATGTTTATATTAATTAATTAGAATCATTAAAAGATTTATATATATATATATATATATATATATATATATATATAAAATGAAGAAATTAGTATTTTTAAGAAAATAACACATGCAAAAAAATGACCAAAATTACCACCAAAATTAGTTGAAATTTAAAAGTTAGTTGCTTGGTTGTAGTTTGCCGCACATATAAGTGTAGACACAAACCCTTAATGGTATGTTTGGGAACATGGATTTGGATTTCAAATCCGGATTTGACTTAAATTCCATGTTTGGGAAACTTAAGCATTTTGAATTTGGATTTGAATCAAATTCTTTACATTCAAAACCAAGCTTAATTTGAAATTCATGCACCTCCCCTTGTCATTTGAAATTCAGGATTTCAAATTTTGGATTTGAAATGCATGAATTGAAATGAAATGCTAGTTGCCAAACACTACCTAATTGTTTTTAACGGATTTTTTTTCCCTGCATTTGTAAGTGTCGCGTTGTAGTAACATATATATATGTGGCAAAATTATAAATTGACCACACTTATAAGTGTGGCTAGTATGTTCATTAGCCGCACTTATTACAAGTGCGGCAAATATTTCCCCGCACTGCAGTTCGTGACACTAACCTCACTAGCATCACTCCCGTGCATTGCACGAGTCATACTTATATTACTAAATTAAGATCATTTTTGACGGATACAATTTCTTATCTGATACTCCCTCCGTCTCTGAAACATCTTCCCCTTTAATTTTTTCTTTATCCCACCAACTCCTTCCTTTTTCTATTAAAAAACAACTTTTGCCCCTTACTTTTTCATGCCCTAGCTATCACATCATACTTTTTTACTAATAATCTATCTATCACATCAACTTTTATCAATCACATCAAGGGTATTTTTGGAAAGTCAACACCAAAATATCCCTCCCTTAATTTTCCAAAAGTCAATAAGGGAACTTCTTTCGGGACGGAGGGAGTAGAATATAAATATTTTATTATTTTAAGGTACAAAAGTTAATTGCTTTACAAATAACGAAAGACTTCTTTATAAACTACATTACTCGTATAATTTTTATATATCAAACTTTTAAAAATTTATTTATTTAAAGACTTCTTCATGATTTTCTACCCCGAAAGCATGAATCTTATTTAAGAACTCAAGAGAGTGTAAGTCATTCAAAAAATTTGAAAGAGGCTAATTACGAAAAGTGATTGAGAATGATTGTATTTAAAGTATGAAAAAATTAAAGTATTTTTCTATTTCCATGCATCTAATCTTTTCTGGGTAAGTTATTAATTAGTGGTTGATTGTTCAACATATAAAGGTATATATTATTCAATATGTTTCCATGTATTAAAGGCATACCTCTTAATTAAAACGATGTCTCCATAAAATGTTTGGGTCTGGATCTCTAAATGGAAACATTATTAAATTGAAAGCTTATTTGGTTAGAATTATTACACGATAATAATAACTAAGTACGATAATATTATAACATGGTATATTATTATTATTATTATTATTATTATTATTATTATTATTATTATTATTATTATACTTTCATGACAATAAATTAATAATGATTAAATACATTAATATTATTGCACAGTATATTAGTATTATTATTTTTTCTACACGGTAATACATAATTTATTCTTGTTACAAAGTAATTTATGATTTAATTATTATTTCTATATTCAACACTTAACATATGTGCCACCATTTCTATGTATTACTTTGACATTTTTT